TAAACAGCAGCCTGAACACGAGTCTGTTGTGAGCAGATGGGTATGAATATACCAGCTTAAAGGCAATAAATCAGCAGCATGGATAATCAGCAGCACAGATCACATATCGCCAATTAAAGTAGCATTACAGTGATGCTTCTGCTTAGAGATTCATGAGTCTTACAGCTTCAGGGTAGAAGCTGTTCCTCAGTCTAATGGTTCTGCACTTAATGCTTCTTAATCTCCTGCCTGAGGGGAGCAGGGCAAAAATTGTGTGTGCTGAGTGAGTGGAGTCCTTCATGATGCAGGTGGCCCTCTTCCTGCTTCTGTAGGTGGTGGGGAGGCTGACTCAACAGTCTTCTGTGCAGCCTTCACCTCTTTCTGCCAAGCTTTTCTTTCTGCAGCTGTTTGTTCAGTTTAGAACTTTTAACTTCAGAAAAATTATTAAGTCTTTTTAGGATTCAAGATTTAAAATCCATAAAACCTAAATTTACAAGTAGATATTTTAATCTGGAATTTCAAAATAACTGTGATACTCTTCAAAATAAGAGTCTGGCTTGGTAATAACTTAGATTGTTCCAAAACAAAAGCCCCATTTTGCTATTGGGTTTTATAAAACAAAGTTGAAAGATGTTGGAATTTCAAGTTGCAGCTGCGTTAGTAGATTTCAACGTTTGTGGAGAAATGTAATTTTTCTGTTTTCACCATCTTTCTTCCCTCCGTTCTTTGTCTCTTTTCTTTGTCTTCATCATTTATCAAATTGGAGCTCAAGCTGCAGGAGTTTGCTCACCCATTTGAAAACAAAGAACAAGTTATTCATGCAGAGATGCTCTTTGCTCCTCATCCCCAATTTTGTGAGAGAACTGTGTGACCACGCAGTTGGTTGAGATGTTGTCTGTTGGAAAACAACCGCAGCTGGGTTTCAGATCAGCAGATCAGATCCGGGAAACACAAACGGTGACAAAACACTAACATTTAGCTTTTTTTTTGTTATTTTTAGATATCAAGTTTTTCCATAACAATTTTTTTTTTTTTTTTTTTTTTTTTCCAGAAGTAGCATGTCGGAGTCAATACGAGCATTATCTATGGTTCAAATGATGAAAAATAACAAACTTCTATCAGTAATAATTAATTGCTGTTATTATAAGACTCAAAAATATAAATATTTGACAGTACTTTAGTTTCTGAGTTTGAAGCACAAATAAAGGTGCTGCCAGACAAATGTATTCCCAGGATTTTAATGTCATTTAAGGCTCAGAATGAGTGCATCAGCAGTTCCTCCTGCTGCCTTGAGGGGGAGCCGCATCCTATGTTTACTTCTGTTTACCCTGCTCCAGTTTTTATCGTTTGTATGTGTTATTGATGCCCCGTCCCCCGTTGTTGTCATGTGTGATGTTGCTGCAGTTATACAAGTGCTTGTTGTTGGCCCACTACAAACAGAGCAGCTGTCCAAACTGATTTGACCCTCTGACTGCACTCCTGCCCTTCGGGCCGACTCTCTCTCTCTCTCTCTCTCTCTCTCTCTCTCTCTCTCTCTCTCTCTCT